TGAGCTGTTTATTTGTAAGATCTGACCTCCTGAGAAATCAGGAGAAAAATGATAGCCAAATACCCTAATAGGCCAGTTTTGAAAAAACAAAACAGCAAGAGATTCAGAGCAACCAATCAAAAAGGCCCAGTCCACCTGAGCTGGCATACTAAGGACACCCCCTCTGCTTTAACCCACACCGGGAAAGTAACCTGAAGTAGCCTGAAGTTTACCAATCTGCACTCTGCACTGTGCTGTTTGTTCCAGCTCAAGCTGCCTTACAAAAAACAACCGGTCTGCCGTGCCCTGCAGAGCTCCTGTTTTGTAGACAAGAGGCTTCCCTGTTTGTGAATCACTAATAAAAGTCAATTATATCACTAAACTCAATTTGTTAAAATTTTGTTCTTTGACACTGTTTTAGAAATTAAAATAGCAAAATTTTTAAAGCACAAGAATACACAAGCACACATTAGTTGTCAGAGGAATGATGTCATCACATCACATAGCCTCTGGAAAACTCCAGGGGGAGGGGGACAAATAACATCTTAGGACTATTATAAAGATGGTTTCATATTGTAAATGTGATCTTACAAATCACCTGAAAAGGTCTTGGGGACCCAGAGGACCCCAGACAACACTGATAACTGCTGGCCTACAACTCTCTGCATTTCTGACCCTTGCCAATCGTTCCAATTTTATCTTAATGATCATACTTCCTAAAGTCTATTTTCTCCTTCTTTCTTTTAGTGATAGAACTACCTAGGTTTTAGCTAAGGATATGGCTGCCCATCTAAAGACTACATTTCCCAGGCTCCCTTGCAGATGTGTGGCCATGTGACTAAGTTCTAGCCAAAGGAAACGCAGAAAAGATGTGGAAAAACCCACCTCCTGTATTTACAATGAGGCTGCTTGCTCCGTGGTGTCTCTTTCCCCTCTCCTGCTGGCTATAACAGTTGTACTGATGGTGACTCAGCTTCAACTGTGTTGAAGAGGGCAACATTTTAGGACCACAGTTCCCAAAGTGTGGTCCCCAGACCACCACCAGCATCAGCAGCACCTGAGAATTTGTGAGAAATGCAAATTCTAAGGCTCCGCCCAAGACCTGCTGAATCAGAAACTCTGGGGTGTGGGGCCCAGCAATCCATGCTTCAAAAAACCTTTTAGGGATTCCGATGCATGCTCAAGTTTGAGGACCACTGGGCTGGGAGATGCTGAGCTACCAGACAGAAGGCACCTGGAGGTTGGTGGGTTAGCTCAGTTGGTTAGAGTGCAGCTTTACAACACCAAGGTCACAGGTTCAAATCCCCTTCTTAAGGCCGGCCTGTGGCTCACTCAGGAGAGTGCGGTGCTGACAACACCAAGCCAAGGGTTGAGATCCCCTTACCGGTCGTCTTTTTAAATAAATAAATAAATAAAAATTAAAAAAAAAAAAATTCCCTTCCTAGCCAGCCACCAAAAACAAAGAAGGCACCTGTGTCCCTACTGGATAACCTCAGGAGGCAGGGCCATCCTACTCCCTACCCCAAATACCAGCTTGGGTATTTACATTAGGAAAAATCTTATTAAAACCGCTCTTAGGGCCGGCCTGGTGGCGCACTGCTGTAGTGCAACGCTTGGGAAGTGCGGTGGCGCTCCTGCCGAGGGTTCGGATCCCACATACAGACCGGCCGCTCAATGGCTGAGCAAGGCACGGGGGCAACACCAAGGGTTGCAATCCCGTGGCCGGTCGCAGTCCGGTACGGGCGCGACACTGAGGGTTGCGATCCGTTGCTGGTCACGAAAAAAGACAAAAAGGAAAAAAAAAAAAAACTGCTCTTATTTGGTCTTTGGTAAATCAAATCAATATCCTAATTAATAATGTACTTAAATACACCCCTTGATTCTTTTTTGTGCTTTCGTTTTGTTTTAGCAGCTAAAGCTGGCCAACACAGGGATTGAACGAACCCTGGAGCTCAGTGTCATTAGCACCATTCTCTGACCAACTGAGCTAACTGGCCAGCCCGATTCTTTTTTGAATTAAATATTGCAGGCATATACTTCATATCTATTAGGTGACTACTATAAAACAAAACAGAACATAATAAGTGCTAGCAAGGATGCAGAGAAACTGGAACTCTTGTACACTGGTGGTGGAAATGTAAAACGACGCAGCCACTGTGGAAATCAGTTCAGCGGTTCCTCAAAATCTTAAAAACAGAATGACCACATGATCCAGCAACTCCACTTCTGAGTATGTACCATGTTTGTAGCAGCATTATGCACAATAGCAAAAAGCGGAAGTAACCCGAGTCCATTGACAGAAGAATGAACGAACTGTGGTCTATACATTAAATGGAATATTACTCAACCTTAAAAAGAAAGGAAATTCTGACACATCCTACCACATGGATAAACTCTGAAGATGTTAAGTGCAACAAGCCAGTCACAAAAAGACAAATACTGTTGTTACAGTGAGTTACTGTGAACTCGCAGGGAGAGGCAGGAAACACCAAGGCTTAAAACAGGAAAACACAGGCCGGCCCGGTGGCACACTGGAGAGTGCACCGCTTGAGAGCACGGCGGCGCTCCCGCCGAGGGTTCGGATCCCATGTGGAGACGCCGGCCCGGTGGCACACTGGAGAGTGCACCGCTTGAGAGCACGGCGGCGCTCCCGCCGAGGGTTCGGATCCCATGTGGAGACCGGTTCCCACTCACTGGCTGAGCGTGTTGCGGCCGCAACACCGAGGGTTGTGATCCCGTTGCTGGTCTCTGGTACGGGTGCGACACTGAGGGTTGCGATCCCGTTACCGGTCAGTAAAAAAGACAAAAGAAAAAAAAAGAAAGAAAAAGGAAAAAAAAAACAGGAAAACAGAGTTTATTGAAATGCTGGCATTTGGCCCAAAAGGACTCATGTCCAAAGTTTCAAGCAGCCCAACGCAGTGGGGCAGTTATTTTTATATCATAGCATTTCCGGGTTTTACAGCATGGTAAGGGGGGGGTGCTTTATCTCAGAGTGGAAAAGTACTGGCCAGAGAAAGCAGAAGAAAAAACAGAAGAGAGATTGAGACATTCAGTTACAGCAGTCTGTGAAACCACAGGGTGTCAGCTAGAGAAGCACAGGGTGGGACCAAGGGGGGGCTTGTAGCTGCAGCAGGGTGTCACCTAGTCTGTGATAGCCAAAGGGTGAGAGAAGGTGGGGCTTCATGACAACCGGGCGGGGGTCTTGGTTATAGCACAGCGTGGCACAGCATGGATGCCAAATGTGAGTGCCTCACTGTGTGATTTCACTTGTATAAGACACCTAGAGGAGTCAAATTCATAGAAACAAAGAAAAATGGTGGTTCCCAGGGGCAGGGGAGGAGGGAATAGGCAGTTATCGTTTAATGGGGACAGAGCTTTGGTTTTGCACGATGAAAGAGTTCTGGAGATTGGCTGCATAACAAGGTACTTACACTACTGTACGCTTAAAAGTGGTTAAGATGATAGCTCTTACGTGTGTTTTACCACTATGTTAAAAATTCTGGGAACTTGGTTAGAGTGCAGTGCTAATAACACCATGGTCAAGGGTTCAGATCCCCTTACTGGCCAGCTGCAAAAAAAATAAATTTTTTAAATACCCTGAAAGAAAAAAAAAAGAAAAAGACTACATCAATCCCCAGTGGTGAATTCTCCTGACCATGCATTATAATCTTGCTGATTAGCTCTCTCCCCTCCACTGGACTGTGAGCTCGGTCCATGAGGAGAGGAGCCACGTCTGGACTGTTCATCTCTTTGTGCTCAGTGTCTAGAACAGTGCCCGGCATGTTGAGAACATGCATGCATTGAACTAACTTCCCCTCTCTGAGCCATTATTTCCACATCTGCTCAGTTAAACTGACTGGGTCCAAATCTTTGGTCAGTGAGTCACAAACACTGTTGGAAGGTAACAAACATTGTTGCCTGAATTCAACACCTGTTCCCAAACCTCTTATCTCCACTATAGACACTGAGAAAGCTAAATGCCTACATTCCCACCCTCCCTTGCAACTAGGAGTATCTATGTGCCATAGCTCTAGACAGTGAGATGTAAGCAGAAGTTTACCTGAATCTTCTAGGAAAGTTTTGACCTCCTGCTTTGAATTCGGATACTATGGCTGGAGCTGTGGCCTCCATCTTGTAACTGAGAGACCTCAGCAAGAATAGCCATGAGCCTCTAACAGTGCCAGCAGCCCCTACCTCTAGACTTACGTGAGAACTTAACTCTTATGTATATGCCACCCACAGTCCGGTCTGCTGTGACTTGCAGCCAAAAGCATTTGTAATTGATACACTTGACCTAGTAGCAATCTGTTTGTCTCCCTTGCCAGAATGGAGGTTCCATGGTGGCAAAAACATGACTTTGTTCACCATTGTGTGCCCACCCTTTCCCCACCCCCAGTGCCTGGAAGAGACTACACAGATGGAATGTGTGGTTGAGGTTTCTTCATCCAAAATATAATAGCTTCCTCGTGGGTTATCTGAAACTATGATTCAAAGTGCTTAAAACAGTGCTTGGCACATAGAAAGCCCTTGACAAATAAATGCAGGGGAGCTTCTCCCCCACAGCGCCCCAGTGACCTTGCACATCCACACACATTCCACATAGGGGATGGCTAGAAGCACAGCGACTCGGTTCTGGCACAATGCCTTGTGATCCTCCCAGGATACGAGAGGATGGTAGGATGAGACTGCAGGCTCCTCAGCAACGCGGCACCCCGTAACTCTTGTTGCAGTCATCCAGCCCCTTCTGTATTGGTGGTGTCCTTTTTGGTGTGCATGACAAGGACCACGGGGACCTGGCAGCTTTGGCTAGTCTTTCTCTATGTAAGCAATAAACAGTTTGAATCTGAAAGTGGCTCACTGTATCTTTACCAGTTTAATCAGTCACATCTTGGCCTGGGCCTTGCAAAGTGTATGCCTGACAATAAATAAATACTATCTGTTATCTTTATTATTCTTATTGTTGTCTTGGGCCTAAGACCACCCTCTCCCCAACTTCTCCTCTCAAAGACAAGACACACAGGCCAGAGGAAATTCTTCCTTTTATTTCTGTTCACAGCCCCCAAAAGGATCAGTCCCCACCCTCCCTCACCTAGATGCAACCCCTCCCCCAACACCTTCACAAAACACTGATTTCCTCCCAGAGCTAAAATGAACACCTGGTCCCAACTATGGCCACCCCTACCCTGCCCCTTCCCTCCTGTTCACCTGCAGCTCCACCTGCTCTTTGAACCTGGCCACCTTTTGGCTCCCTCCCCAATCACAGTACCCCGGGGTTGCCTGGCTTACTTTTTTGCTCACATGATATGGGATCCCTCCTCAAAACCCTCCTTGACTTACATTCTCATTTGCATAGTCACTCTGCATGGAGTCCTGGCCTCGCTTCCCTTTTCCATCCTATGCCTACTCCACCCCCCACCAAGAACCACCTGCAAGAAATCAGGTTTGAAATTCAAGAGACCAGGTTTCTGAGATCCCCCTGTTCCCTGTGGGCCTCACCTCTTCAGCTGTTACTTTAGGGGTACAGATGTTGACTAAGACCAAACATTCCATGATTCTGGGGAGCAAAATCGAGAAATAGGCAAGAGAGGCAATATGAATAAAAGCAAGAAGAGGGAGAGGGAGAGGTTTGGGATGAAGCTGGAGGCAGGGGGATGACTGAGGAACCTGTCCCACCTCAGCGCCAGACACAGAAGTGAGCGGAGCTGAAGACCAGCTCTCCTGGAACCCAAAGCCCCCACCCTTCTAGCTGTGGCGGGTCCTCTGGCTCCGAGCCTTGTACACTTCGATGAGCAGGTCCTTGACGTACTGGATCTCCCGCTCCACTGACTCGGCCCTCTCCCTCAGCTCCCGGTTCCTTGCCTCCAGCCCCTGGCACTCGCCCTCCAGGGCCTCACCCTCTGCCCGCTTCCGCTGGCGGTACCTCAGAGCCGCTGACTTGTTCTGGTCTCTCTTTTTTTGCTTGCGGTCCCCTCGGGTGGTAGCAGGGTTGGGGTAGGGTGCCAGGCGAGAGGGTGGAGGTGGAGGAGGAGGGGGCTGCTGTGGTGGGGGCATAGGCACCAACCCCACATCCCCCTGCCCAGCCTCACTGTGGCAGTAGATGGCCAGCAAGTCAAGGGTATCCAGGGCAGAGGGCTGGGGGAGGTCAAAGGTGGAGAGGGGGAGGGAGGGTACTGGTGCTGGGGCTGGTGGTGGTGGTGGTGGTGGTGGTGGTGGTGGTGGTGGTGGTGGTGGTGGTGGTGGTGGTGGTGGTGGTGGTGGTGGTGGTGGTGGTGGTGGTGGTGGTGGTGGTGGTGGTGGTGGTGGTGGTGGTGGTGGTGGTGGTGGTGGTGGTGGTGGTGGTGGTGGTGGTGGTGGTGGTGGTGGTGGTGGTGGTGGTGGTGGTGGTGGTGGTGGTGGTGGTGGTGGTGGTGGTGGTGGTGGTGGTGGTGGTGGTGGTGGTGGTGGTGGTGGTGGTGGTGGTGGTGGTGGTGGTGGTGGTGGTGGTGGTGGTGGTGGTGGTGGTGGTGGTGGTGGTGGTGGTGGTGGTGGTGGTGGTGGTGGTGGTGGTGGTGGTGGTGGTGGTGGTGGTGGTGGTGGTGGTGGTGGTGGTGGTGGTGGTGGTGGTGGTGGTGGTGGTGGTGGTGGTGGTGGTGGTGGTGGTGGTGGTGGTGGTGGTGGTGGTGGTGGTGGTGGTGGTGGTGGTGGTGGTGGTGGTGGTGGTGGTGGTGGTGGTGGTGGTGGTGGTGGTGGTGGTGGTGGTGGTGGTGGTGGTGGTGGTGGTGGTGGTGGTGGTGGTGGTGGTGGTGGTGGTGGTGGTGGTGGTGGTGGTGGTGGTGGTGGTGGTGGTGGTGGTGGTGGTGGTGGTGGTGGTGGTGGTGGTGGTGGTGGTGGTGGTGGTGGTGGTGGTGGTGGTGGTGGTGGTGGTGGTGGTGGTGGTGGTGGTGGTGGTGGTGGTGGTGGTGGTGGTGGTGGTGGTGGTGGTGGTGGTGGTGGTGGTGGTGGTGGTGGTGGTGGTGGTGGTGGTGGTGGTGGTGGTGGTGGTGGTGGTGGTGGTGGTGGTGGTGGTGGTGGTGGTGGTGGTGGTGGTGGTGGTGGTGGTGGTGGTGGTGGTGGTGGTGGTGGTGGTGGTGGTGGTGGTGGTGGTGGTGGTGGTGGTGGTGGTGGTGGTGGTGGTGGTGGTGGTGGTGGTGGTGGTGGTGGTGGTGGTGGTGGTGGTGGTGGTGGTGGTGGTGGTGGTGGTGGTGGTGGTGGTGGTGGTGGTGGTGGTGGTGGTGGTGGTGGTGGTGGTGGTGGTGGTGGTGGTGGTGGTGGTGGTGGTGGTGGTGGTGGTGGTGGTGGTGGTGGTGGTGGTGGTGGTGGTGGTGGTGGTGGTGGTGGTGGTGGTGGTGGTGGTGGTGGTGGTGGTGGTGGTGGTGGTGGTGGTGGTGGTGGTGGTGGTGGTGGTGGTGGTGGTGGTGGTGGTGGTGGTGGTGGTGGTGGTGGTGGTGGTGGTGGTGGTGGTGGTGGTGGTGGTGGTGGTGGTGGTGGTGGTGGTGGTGGTGGTGGTGGTGGTGGTGGTGGTGGTGGTGGTGGTGGTGGTGGTGGTGGTGGTGGTGGTGGTGGTGGTGGTGGTGGTGGTGGTGGTGGTGGTGGTGGTGGTGGTGGTGGTGGTGGTGGTGGTGGTGGTGGTGGTGGTGGTGGTGGTGGTGGTGGTGGTGGTGGTGGTGGTGGTGGTGGTGGTGGTGGTGGTGGTGGTGGTGGTGGTGGTGGTGGTGGTGGTGGTGGTGGTGGTGGTGGTGGTGGTGGTGGTGGTGGTGGTGGTGGTGGTGGTGGTGGTGGTGGTGGTGGTGGTGGTGGTGGTGGTGGTGGTGGTGGTGGTGGTGGTGGTGGTGGTGGTGGTGGTGGTGGTGGTGGTGGTGGTGGTGGTGGTGGTGGTGGTGGTGGTGGTGGTGGTGGTGGTGGTGGTGGTGGTGGTGGTGGTGGTGGTGGTGGTGGTGGTGGTGGTGGTGGTGGTGGTGGTGGTGGTGGTGGTGGTGGTGGTGGTGGTGGTGGTGGTGGTGGTGGTGGTGGTGGTGGTGGTGGTGGTGGTGGTGGTGGTGGTGGTGGTGGTGGTGGTGGTGGTGGTGGTGGTGGTGGTGGTGGTGGTGGTGGTGGTGGTGGTGGTGGTGGTGGTGGTGGTGGTGGTGGTGGTGGTGGTGGTGGTGGTGGTGGTGGTGGTGGTGGTGGTGGTGGTGGTGGTGGTGGTGGCGGGGACTGAGGACAGATATACCGGGGCGGCGTAGCACGGTTCGTCCGTATCCCTCCGCGCCCCGCCCCCGCGCGGCCCCAAACCGGGAGGTGGCCGGGCCCCCTTCTCTTGGGGATCCGGGGGTCCGACCTCCTCTTTCCGACACCTGGGTTTCGGCCATCTCTTCCCTTTGACCTGGTGGTCCGGCTCCCTCCTCCGACCCTCCCTTCTCTCTGACTCTGGGATTGGGTCCTCTTCTCCCTGTGACCCAGTGATTGGATCCTCTCCTGCCTGTGGCTCTGGGATCTGGTTTCCTTCTTCCTCTGAGGTCCTGGACTTTTTCCTCCCTCTGATTTTGGGGATCTGGTTTCATCCTTTTCCTTCAGACCTACACCAGTTCATGTCTCTCTTCTCTGCTTCACGAATTTCCTGCCAGTCACACTTGGATCTCTTCATCCCCCAACTGCCGTCCCACCGTGAGAACCCTCGTGGGTTAGGGTGTGGCGTGAGTCACAGTCCGCGTTCCATTCAAATCACAGACCTGCCAGGGTGGCCTTGGGTAGCTAACGTATGTGGCGTCATTTTACTATCTGTAAAATGAGAAAAATCAACTCTACTGATGGGGTTGTTTGTGAGCATCAAATAAGGCGAGGTCCTCAAATCCCTCAGCACAGAACTCAACTTATTCCAACGTATTTTACTGTTAATAGGAACTCGTGGGCCCAGTCTCACCTCTTCCTTTCCACTGGCAAGAGCCCCTGACACAACACATAAACACCTGCTGATAGGTCATTTTTGTGGTTTCCTTACTCCAAGATGTCAATTTTCAGGCTTTGTCACCCCCACTCCGTCCTTTCTCCAGCCCCTGCCTGCCTTCCCTCAGGCCAACTGGTTCATTCTTCTGCCCTTGTCCCTTGCCCTTACTTCCTTTCAAACAGTCTTTGGTCTCAGCTGTCCCCATTGGATAGGAACTGTCTCCCAGCCCTGTCAAAAATAGATCTACATTTCCATTTGGCAAAAGACAGGGAGTTTGGTAGCCATCTTGCCCCTCCCTAGGCCCTGGGCCCCGGGTGTATGTGGGCCTTTCTTCTGTTGCAGAAATTCCTCTCTTTCCCACCCTGCAACATCAGGACATCCCACCTGGAGTTCAACCTTCATCCCTTCTGTGGCAGTTACAAGACCGAATCAAGGTCCAAAGAAGGTGGGGGAACCCTGACTTTGAGAGTTATGTTCAGGCATCTTCATCACCCCCCACCTTCCCTGTTGCATGCAGGAAGTCCTTCTTGGGATCTGACCACCTTCCCTATAGCACTTACTATCCCTGTGCCAGTATTCGAGCTCTTGCTGTATATTTCTTTGGGCCTGTGGGGGGTGGCTATATTATTACTTAGTATATAGAGTAACAGTGAAGAGCACAGATTCTGTAGCCTGTTTCTTTGGGTTCAAAGCCCGACTGTACCCCACTTACCAGCTGTGTGACCCTGACAGTTTCCCTTACTTCCTTGTGCCTGTTTTCCCCATGGTAAAAAGTCGTATTAATAGTACCTACCTCTTAGGATCGTTATGAGGATTAAATGAGTTGATTCATGTCAGGCACTTAAACTAGTGCCTGGCACACAGTAGGTGCTCCATAAGGGGTTGTTATTGTTATTGGTGAAGTGGGTATGTTCTGTCTCCTTTGCTAAGCAGTAAATGCTTTAACACTATGACTAGTCTTTCACCGTTTAAGAAAAACTTAAGGATTGACTTCCTTCCACTTCTCAGTATAGATGTTTGAGTGATAGCAGGTGGGGTTAGGTGTAGACTGTAGGACAGACTGCTGGTGGTGAGGAGACAGTCTCTCCCCAGAGTCTTCTGAGAAGACCTTCTAGATTATATACAGGGACTGGATAGTTTTTTTAATAAACTTTTTATTTTGGAATAATTTTAGATTTACAAAAAAGTTGCAAAGATAAAACAGACTTTTTGTATACCCCTCACCCAGTTTTCTCCATTGTTAACATCTTAAATTGCTATGCTTCATTTGTCACAACCAAGGAACTAACATTAGTATGTTACTGTTGAATAAACTCCGCACTTTATTCTGATTTCACTAGTTGTTATCTGATGCCCTTTTTCTGTTCCAGGATCCTATCCAGAATACCACTTACATTTAGGCATCATGTCTCCTTAGCTTTCTCTGATCTATGGCAATTTTTTAGACTTACCTTGTCTTTCATGACCTTGGCAGTTTTGAAGAATGCTGCTGGTTGGGTATTTTATGGACTGTGCTTCAATTTGTCTCATACTTAGATTGGGATTATGGGTTTTTGAGACAATGGCCAAGTAAGGTATTTTTTTAATAACTGGAACGAACTTGCTCAGTAAAAGAATCTCGTTGCTGACTGTGTATTGCTGACTGAGAAGGCATCAAGGCAGGGACTGTACTGTCCTCCATCCCAGCCCTTTTCTCCCTCTTGCTGTTGGATCCCATCCAGTTCAGCCCTGCCCCACCTAAGTAGCTTGACTCAGTCATGCTGAGCGGGTACCATTTCATACACTTAGCTCCCCAGCCCTTCCCAGCATGTTCTGATTTACAGTTGACAGGTCATCAGTAGCTGCCTGTGACCCTAGGTCTTGGCACCATGAGCCCTCTCCTATGCCCATTCGTAATCTGGGCCTGTGGCCCCTCCAGGACTCAAATGCTTCAGCCATCCCCAGCTCTGCAAAGTCCTCCAGGGTGCAGGTGTCCAGTCCCTTCATCTCCTGAGCTGGGAGCAATGGCTGCTGGGGACTCTTTTTCAGTGCGGAGGGGCCTGGCTTGGGAGTGAGGCGGCGATTTCAGGCAGGTTACATCAGCCATGGCTCTTTGATGGGGAGAGGGAGTGAGGGGATTCTCTGGGGGCCACAGGCGCATCTGGCAATGGCTCCTGATTAGAGGAGCCCTGAATAAGGGAGAGGCCCCAGCACAGCAAAGGTGGGGAGTGCAGAGAAGAAAGGAGATCAGCTGCCTGTGCAGGACCCTGAGAAGCTGAGACTGATGCCAAGAAGTGGCCTCAGA